TCATCGACATGACATCAAGTACAAGTTTTAGCACCTAATTACAAATTGATCATGCTTACATTATTCATCCAAACAATATTTCAAACATCCATTTGTAACCCAAGACACACTATCATGCTCCAACTTTTTAAATCATATTCAATAGAAAAAATACATCATTCTTAACTTCCATAACTCATACTAGCATGAATCACCCATAATGCATAATGAATCTAGTACAACCATCAATATCAACTCATCATACTCACTAACACAATCTTTCATCCAAAGTATTATAATTTCACAAAGAACACACTATTCAAATACATTGTAGTCATTTACTAATATGTAGCAAAGAAACTAATCCAATTATAATTATTTACAACATAAAGTGCATCAAAGAAAACAACATAACCATCACATCATTTGGTTAACACTTTTTCACTACTTGGGGACATCACAAAAAACCATACAATAACCTAGAATCTTCCAACACATCAACAGTGACGCATATCCATATGTACCTTTTTTAAAAATAACACAACAACCAAACGTATAACCTAACATTTTGTAAAACATCATGTACTGTTCTCACATCATAACAAACACTGTTTATAATATGGTAGCTTCAGGCTAGTACCCAAACTAATGCACTCACGCACATTAATGATCAAAACCATACATTTTATACTATTAGCTTCACATGAACCCATCTGAACTAAATGAACTTACTCTACAACAACAATGCACCCAAAAGAAAACACCCCTTGCAAACCCTATATTCATAGGTTTTCTCCTTATGCAATCCTATTTGCAGTTCTAAATCGTTACTACCCAAACCATCCATGAGTATAATCAAAGCAACATATCCCAAGAACCACACCTACACCAGTAGAGAACTCTACCCCTCATGCATGAATTACACCACTAAAAACCACATCGTTTAAACCAAATAACGTGATCTAGGAAATACACAACATCTACAATCATAACCATAGAGATTTAACTCTCCTTACAACATCATCATAAATTGATCAATGTATTCAAAATAATACCAAAATAAACACCAAATCATCAATATAACATTTATATCATAGTAGTTAAGTCCTTATTACAATTCCATCACACCAAACAACATCAATTCATAATAAGACTATAACAATCATATTCAACCCATCAATTCTGCACCATCTGTCAATTTAAGTCAACTCGTGCATATCCAACCACCATCTGGACAAACTCTTCAACTCCATCAACAAAAGTTTCCTTCAAATCTCTCCTTCCACTATAACAATAGTCATACATCCACCCACGATGGTTGGGAACTTCGGCCATGTTTTGTACACCTTGTACCTAGTAGGGGAACTTGGGTAAAACAAAAATGAAAGTAAAATCAAATAGTCATACTATGTAAAGAACAACACCCTTTAATAGCGAACTTAGGATGATAAACTAAGGTAAATTTTATTCTACACAAGACAATTAAATTCAAAAAACAATATAGAAGGTCAAAAAAGGAAACTAAGGTTTTGAAGCAAGTTAAAACCAAGCAAACAAAGACTATTCAGCAAGTTAAAACCAAAGACTGTGAATCATACATACCAATTAATTTTAATCTACCATCAAATTGGTGTCTTGAGAACGTAATTCAATAACACCCGTCAAAATATCAGCCAATTAAAATGAAACAACAAATTGATGCATCCAGTTCAAATAAACACATTGCAAAAATTATATTTGGACCTAGACATCGACTCAATCTTACCCCTCCCTCCTCTTCCACTCAGATTCGGCGTGTTCTTTTAAGGGGTCCACTATGTTATAGCCGATTACCTCTATGCTTACTCCCAAACCTAAGGAGGATGTTGCATTTGATGACTGACGCTTGACTACCTGCCTTATTGCCATTATTAGATCCCCACATACCTTTTGCAATGGATGACTACTTCACACTTCAGAAGCAATGCACCTCTCTCACAATCACGAAAACAACAAAGCTCTTAAATAACTTGGTGACGAAATATGGTCAACCTCACCTCCTATTTATAATGTGATGGTGACAGTTCATGTTCTGACCTAATAGGTCAAACCCATCATAAAACAACCCACAAAACATCTCATTGAATGCAATCCTTCGGTTTCCAAACTATTCCTTCCCCTCCAAGGAATTCTCAAACCTTCAAAACGTTTCCAACATCCATTACTTTGGTTTTCACACTATACCTACTCCTATCAGTCACATCCCCTCATATTTGACCGCCCATCATTCAAACTTTTTCGTCGCTACGCTTCTCGAGGCTAGGGGGCTATTATACGCATAGGGTTGTCGCCAAAGATAACAAATTTTCTTTGCAAAATCTCACACTCCGACTATCAAGCACTGACACCTTACCTCAATCGGATACTAACACTTTTTGCATGCCTTCAAGACATGAAAAGACTAGGGAGTTGGTGTATTGTATGTGGTTGAAGACCCCTCGGTCCTACCAATTACAACCTTTAAACAAGTTACATAAGACACTAATAGGATACCGTTTACCGGGTACCTAGTAACATATAACTTATAATTAGTACAACTGACAAGATAACCACTAGATACTCTCCAAAGGATGGTTTACCCACCGAATACCAACGATTGTACTATTGAAGGGGTAAGTTCAATGTTCATTAGTCGGTACTGAATATCGGGTATCAAATACTATGTTTCCCATATCAAAACCTGCATCCATCATTTGATAATCACGTTCTTCGCTGGGTCAGGATACTGCCTACTAGTACCTACTTTTGCTTGTCGGAGACATTCTCACAATTGGATGACATAGTATAAATACAACCCGTAGCCTTATTTTTCAATCAAATATTCCTAATGCATATTGGTCTTATGCTATGACTCATGCTATATATCTCATAAATAGGCTTCCTTCTCATCTTTTAAATGGAAAAACCCCTCATGATATAATGTATGGTACACCTCCCACTTATCTCAATTTAGAAACTTTTGGATGTTTATGTTTTGCTTCTACACTTGAGATCAACAGAGGTAAATTTGATTCTAGAGCTTCCATGAAAGGACAAAACATATAGATCTGGATTGTCATGTTGTACGTGAAAAGATTAAGGCAAATCTCTTGTGCCTTCTCCCCATTCGCTCAGATGAACAATTAACCGACATTTTCACTAAGTTTTCTCATCGAGTTAGGTTTCGATCCATCGTTCCTAAGCTCAGATTAGTGAGCATACACCATCCCGCTTGAGAGGAGGCTATTGGGACCGTTAGAATCAGTTAGAGTTTTAATGTTTTCCCTTTTTCCCTCTACCAGGTAAACCCTATATATATGGGGTTTCATATTTTTCATCAGTACTGTAAGAAATCAACACACAGAGCATACAATAAAACATAGATCTAGAGTTTACTCACCTGTTTTGCTTCAATTTCGTTCTCTTCTCGTTTTTCCCTTTCTGCCATGGAGAACCCTATCTGTTGCCTCCTTTCTTTGAAAATCTCCACCTTTTCCAAAATATGAGTTCTGATATCTCTAATTCAAAATAAACTTTTCAACCAACTTTTAAAATTCCCCAGAGTTCAATTTATTTCCTGTTGGATAAAACGAGCAAACACAGGATATACAGACACAGGTAATGCAGAGAAAATTAGGGCTCTTTTCTCGTTAATGCGAGTGTACATGTATCAGTACAGAAAACAATGAATGGAACAAAACTAATTGTATAAAAGCATAAACCAAATACTTTGATTATTTACAACATTTTTAATCTAGACATTTTACCCATATATGATATTGCTTATGCTGAACAAGATCCAGAGCTAGAAAGGAAAAACAAGTATGGTTGAGGTCGACGAAAGTTATCAGGGTCAAATATGGTCGAATACAGTTGAGGCTAAACAAGAATGAGAGTTGAAGAGGTAAAATAAGGTGAAGACATGTTAAAGACACGATTGAGGGTAGTTGAGGCTAAGCAAGGTTGAGAACCGTCAAGACAAGCTCAAAAGCCAATGAGGTCAAACAAGATCAAGAGATGAGAGGTCAAACAAGATCAAGATGTGTTGAGGTCTAACATGACCAAGAATTATTAAGGCCTAATAGAAGACACTCTGACACTCAAGTTAGTTGAATGTGACACATAATAGTTATGATGTTTGTAATGATGAATGTAAATCATTGACTTCAATGATTGTACTATTTATAAAATAATTATGATGTTTGTAGGCTCCACCTCTATGGGCTTGGGTGGACCTAATAACCCATTTATCTCATAAGCCAGTTGTTCGATCTATATTTTGCTAAGTTATAAAATAGTTGAACCGATTGACTTATGCCTAAGTAGTGGTGGTCATTTAAGTCGCCTTATATCCAGGTAGAAGCAGTCAATCGTTGTTTTTATAAGATCGATTTGTGATCGGATAGAAACATTCAAATATGTAGACTTGTAATCGAGTAAAAGTAATCATATAGGACGACCTGTGTTCAAACATAAGCATTTAAAGGTAGGACGGCTTGTGTTCGGATAGAAAAATTTAAAGATGTTTTTTTTAACAAATGATATATATAAAATATGAATTTTATAGGAAAATGTTTTAAATGATAAAATGATTTTTTTTAAAACAAGACACAATATTTTATAATAATTTAAAAATAAAAAAAAACATTTAATTTTAGAATAAATAAATTTTTAATTTTCAAGATCGAAGAAAACGATATTTCAAATTTATAGAAAAAAAACATAGTATCTCATTAGTGCCCATAGAGATGCTCTACCCATTAATTTACTGTGCACGATGCTAACAGATGGAAATGGAAAAAGATTCCGTATTTCAGAGTACCAGTAGAATAGACTGTTCATAAGTTTTCTATTGGTTCTCTTGATAACTCATCTTTATAGTAAAATCTAACTAATTATTTTTAATAAAGTATACTTTCCCAACTTATGTCATTTCATTTCAAAATTGGAACGTGAAATCTTCTTCTCTAAGCAACAATATCAGTAGTACAATTTTTCTCTAACTTCATGTTTTTTTCAGAAGGATTTGATTGTGCTGAGGTAGTCATTAGTCAACAAACTATAATCTCCGCCACATTGTTTTGTCGTGTAGAACATCATCACTCTTCATTCAGCGGCTAGATTTCACAGGAAAAAAAAACAAAATGCAACCTTCTCTCTCTTTTGCACGTGTCTCTGTTTCTGGTTGATCCAAATTCAGGAACCTGATAATAGGGACTTCCCAGCTCATCTCTCATCATCACCACTGCCGCAAATGGAGCTACTACACCAAGAGCAACAACCCGTTTCGCTTTCCCTTTCCTTTTCCCTTTCTGTTGTCTCTGATGCTTCTGCTCCTTCCTCTTCATCGGAACAGTCCAGTCCAGCAGATGCAGTAATCTTCTTTGGTCTCAGTTTGGCTCTGGGGATTGCTTGTAGGCACCTCTTGCGTGGGACTAGAGTTCCTTACACCGTTGCCTTGCTCATAATTGGCATTATACTTGGATCTATAGGTCCTACCCTTCGCTTTTTTATCATCGTTTTTTACTGTTGATGTTGTTGTTGTTATAATAGTTTACTTTCTAGAATGAACCACTTAATCTTGGATTTCTTTGGCTGGGTTTGGTGTGATTACGGTTAAAGAGCAAAGAAAAAGACAGAACTTTTAGTGTCCAATGGCTTCATCTGAGGGTGTTGACTTTCTATAGAGGGCGATAACTCACTGCAGAAAAATTGGGACACACCCTTTGAACTTGTCCTTTTCCTGTTTTAGTCAAACACTGAATAGAATTTAAACGAATCGGGTAGGATGTTGAAAAATGTTCATTTTTAATCTTTAGATCCCAATCATAGACTTGTAAGAACATCGGGCCGAGATGGTATTGTTCACCATGTTTGGAGAAGAAAAAGAGAGTACCTGCAAGCAAAGGAAGTGAATGGGAAATAAACTGCTAATAGTTGAACTTTTACTTTTTCTTGATTCTATATACATTACTTATTTAATTCTGATTTGATCTTTTTGAGCTTCTTATTTGAAGCTCCAACTGAGGACATGTAGACATTTAAACATATGCAGAAAATCATGGGAATTCAATATAGATCAGACAAGATCTTTTCATGGAATTCTTTTGTAAATTACTGACTCATATTGTTGTAACTAGTTATATTCAATCATAACCATCTAATCTAAGGTACAAAACTTAGAAACGTCACCTAGCTCACCAGGTTTGATGACATTCTAAAAGAGACTTGAAAGACTTAGAAAATGTTGTCAAAATTTTTTCTTTAGGTTTATATTTAGTAGAAAGTATTAAACTTATTCTATGTTGATTATCATTTCTTTTTATAATTTTGGTCCGTTCTTTGCCTCATCAGAGGTTACCTGTTTCTCTGAAAACTTTCCTGCTATATTGGAAAATGTTGCATTTCTCAATTCAAATCCTGGCTATGGAAATTATTCCTAAGAAAATGGTCCTTTCCGAGGTTTCTTAGAGATGGAAAACTATTTTCTGCCAGTCTATATGACTGCTGAAAGATAGGCCTTCTTCACTGTTTAACTTTTTCCCTTTGAACAGTATTCTTAACTGTTGTTTTCATTTAAGCTTACTCCTTTTTGGCATTCTCGTATAATATATATTTTTTATTTTATTTAATGTTAATAACTTGGCTGATTAATGGTGCATCTCTAAACAGAATATGGTACTCATCATCGGCTGGGAAAGATTGGAGATGGAATTCGTCTTTGTAAGTTAGTTATGTTTTTATTCTAGTCAGTTTGAAACTTGTGTGCTTAGCATTAAAAAGAAAAGGCTTTTCAATGTACAGCCTTGGAGCATTTGAGTATACTGGAATTTTAGAATATTTCCAATTTAATAAGCTTCATTCTTCAGCTTCTTGTTTAAAAATAATTGAAGTAATTGATATTTTTTATATGCAGGGTCAGAGATTGATCCAGACCTTCTGTTAGCTGTTTTTCTTCCTGCTCTCCTGTTTGAAAGCTCATTCTTAATGGAAGTTCACCAAATTAAGGTTTCTTTTCTTGGATTCTTCTGAGTACAATTTTGTAGTGGTTTATAAGTGATGGTTTCTCTCTGTCATGATAATTTCCTATATTATATATGTAAGAAAACTGAGATATAAATATTCTAAGAAAAGGTATATAAACTAAAGAAGATGATGAACTTAAAAGCTGAGCAAGAAACTAACTATTTCTAATTCAATTACTCTGAAAACTTTAATGCACAAAATGAGACCAAATAACTATTTCATAATTATCACGATGGAAGATGAAAAAATTAAATCCACGAGGTTAGACATAGCTAGCATTAAATGCTGCTAAACAGGGAGCAGACTAGATATTATTTTTGTAATAATATAAGTCAATTGCTAAATGTTACCAACACAAGATGCACTTTGGGCTGAATGCAGAGGTGTCTTGCACAAATGATCATACTAGCTGGTCCTGGTGTTGCGCTTTCAACTGTTTGTCTTGGAGTTGTCATGAAGGTATGTGAGCTCATGTGTTTAGATTTCATCATTTCTCTTATATAATTATAGATCATTTGACATGATACAGCTTACTTTTCCATACAACTGGGGTTGGAAAACATCACTGTTGCTTGGGGGACTTCTGAGTGCAACAGATCCTGTTGCTGTTGTGGCTTTATTGAAAGATCTTGGTGCCAGCAAAAAACTAAGCACCATAATTGAAGGGGAATCCTTGATGAATGATGGGTATTTTTAGTACTCTTTGCACTGCTTTAACTAACATCTACTCTTCAAATGAATTTGTGTTTTTCCAAGTGAGTCTATATTGTAAGAAGTGACAGATGGTTTTTAAATGTATGTTTCTTTTTGTATTTGCATTTGCCAAAAGCTTAATCTTCATTCTTGTCCAGGACGGCTATTGTAGTTTATACTCTTTTCTATCGGATGGTTCTTGGAGAGACCTTCAATTGGGCTGCTATAATCAAATTTCTAGCACAAGTTTCACTTGGAGCGTAGGTTTTCACCTACTTTTTTGTTGCACTAATGTCAAAAGATATCTTCACTCATTTGACTGTTTGCTCGGTCCAGTGTAGGGATGGGTCTTGCTTTTGGGATTGCATCTGTTTTGTGGCTAGGGTTTATTTTTAATGATACAGTGATTGAAATTGCTCTAACATTTGCTGTTAGCTACATTGCTTATTTCACTGTAAGTACCCTTTAAAAAATCTGGATTCATCTTTTATTCTTGGATGTATTGGTGTTATCTTAAGTTACTTCAATCTTGTGCATGAAGAAATTAATGATCAAAATCTATTACAGGCCCAGGAGGGTTCAGGTGTCTCAGGTGTTTTGACGGTGATGTCTTTGGGAATGTAAGTTGACCTTTAGTATGCAATGACTAATATCTCTTTTTTGAAACCTGATTATTGAAATCTTTCTACAGGTTTTATGCTGCATTTGCAAGGACAGCTTTTAAGGGTGAAAGTCAACAAAGCTTACATCACTTTTGGTAGGCCTTTCACTTTCCTCGTGAGTAGAAATTAAATTCATCTATAAGAGTTTTTTTTCTTCTAATTTTCTGTGTACACTTTTTGTGAACAAGAATTTTCTGTGTACCTTTGATACAAAAGCAATGAAAACAAATTATTTGTGAAGTATATTAATTTTCTAAACACTATCACTCAACTTTAGATTTTGTGAAGTTTTCTTTAGCATTACCGCTACTTTGAACTTTTATTACTTTGCCAAACTGATTTTTTATATCATTAAAAAAAGACATAAAGATAGACAAAAGTTCAAGATAGTCTTTCATTAAATAAATCCAAGTACATCTATAATACTCATCAATAAAACTAATAATATCTAGAACCAAAAGTTGAGACACAGCTTGACCCAAAAATATTATAATGGATGATCAAAAAAGCAGTTACATCAAGATTCAAAATGTCTAGGAAAAGAAGACCGAACGTGTTTTCCTTGTTAACATGATTCACATTTTAAAGTTTGAAGTCTACGAAGTTCAAGAACCATCTCTTTAATTTTAACAAGTGAGAATGATCTAAGCATTCATGTAAAACTTTAGGAGATGGGGATGCAAAACAAGACACAAATGAGCTTGTGTCAAAGTAGTATAAGCCTCTAGATTCATGTCCTTCTCCAATTAGTCAACTTTTACCACATTCCTGTATAAAAAAAAAAAAGAGTTGGCATCAAAGGTTATTGAACAATTCAATGGTTTTGGTTGATTGACTTAAATAAAAGAGATTGAAAGGACATACATGAACACAGAGAACATGTTTTGAGTTTAAAGAAGGATAAAGGAAAGCTAGACCAAATTTTTGGGAAGCTACTTTAGATTCATTGGCTAGGGTTATGAATGAGGCTTTTTAGGAAAGGAGAGAGAAGAAAACAAAGAGGTATTACCATAAATATGATAAGAAGCACTTCAATTATCCATGGACTTTGATTCTTCACTGATTGTGAAATGAAAGCTCTTGACAAATTCGGAATTGTAGATGATTGTGCTAGGCAGTTGGATTTGCACCACAAATATTCTTGACATTCCTCATAAAAAACAATTTTGGTTCAACAACCTCAAATTTGGAGACATTGGTTGTTTTTTCAGGGAAACCATGGGGTAGTAGCAATTTTCTTGGATATGACCCATTTTTTTACAATACATTGAGGATAACCTTTTCCACCACATCCTTCTCTACCATTTGTTATTAGCCTCTTCATCAATTTGATATTAAAAATGTTTTCCTGCATGGTGATCTAGAAGAAGAGGTCTTTATAAAGCAATCTCTTAGGTTTGTTGCTTAAGGGGAGTCTAATATGCTTTGCGACATTCTCTATGGTTTCGAGCAATCTCCACATGCTTAGTTTAGAAGGTTCAAGTACATTGTTCAAACCTTTGGGTTAAAACACAAGACAAACCATTTTTTTCTATTGTTGTACAATGTGTACTTAATAGTGTATGTTGATGTTATGGTCATTGCAAGAAATGATGTTGCTAGAATCTCTCTGGTTAAAGAAACAACTATGCATAAGTTTTAGTCCAAAGATTTTGGAAGTCTCAAATATTTTTTATGGGCATTGAAATAGCCTAATCAGAAGAAGGTGTTGTAATTTCTCAAAGGAAATTTTCTCTAGTCTTCCTAGAAGAGACATGTGTGATTGATTGTAAACTAGTGGATAGTTCTATTAATTCAAGTTGGCAATTAATGCCAGAATATGGAAAAGCTTGCTTTGATACCAACTTGGGATAATACAAAAAAAGGAGAAAATGTATTAGAAAGCTTGATTTCCCTTTCTTAGGTCCTTATATTATGATGACATTTTTAGTTCAAATACAATTGATGAGAGAGAAGAGAAAAGAATAAGAAAGGTCATATCTAGAGTAGACAACAACTTTTCCATAAAGCCTATTTAAGACCTATTCTAACAATCTTGAACATGAACTTTGCAATACTTGATATCTATGACTTGTTTGGTATCATTCAAATAGTGGGTGACTTGTTAGGCCTAACAAAAACTGCTAAGATAGACTTTGATACTATCTTAGATTTTTAGAGTCTAACTCAACTCCATAAAATGAGCTTGTGAGATGAGGGTTATGCGGAAGGTATCCAGAATTCACTAGATAGATGAATAAATAATTACTCAGAAGAACTTAATTAGAAAATCACAATTGTTATACCTAAGTGATAAAAACAAAAGAACTTCAACATACAATGCTCCAGGTCTTTCGAGAGGACCGATCTCTCCCTAATTTTCCTTTTACAACCCACTAAAAAACTACTTACTATCATCTAACATAAAGAAAATATAAAAGATAATTACACACACAACTGCAGGAGGTTATAACTACCTACTAGGAAGTTATAACTACCTGCCTCCTCTATTTCTTCTCACATAAACTTGGCCACTAAACCTATCAATACCCCTTCCATGAAGTTTCACCTTGTCCTCAAGGTGAAAAGAAGTAAACTCTTTGCTGATGGTAGCTGCTGTTTCCCAACTATTTTCAAAAGAGAGATGTTGCCACTGGACTAAAACCTCCAAGTCACCATCCTTATTGAATCGGGTATCCAAAAGAGCTTGCGGATAAACATCAAGGATTAATTCCTCTGTTAGGGCAGATGGGAGGGCCTGAATAGGAGTTGTTGGGTGGATTGCGCGCTTGAGGAGAGACACATGGAAGACTGGATGGATTTTGGAGTGAGCAAGAAGTTCTAACTTGTAAGCAACTACCCCTATACATTCTAGCACCTTGTAGGGGCCATAGAACCTTGGACTTAATTTTTCATTTGGTCGTCTGGCCAAGGACTTTAATCTATAAGGCTGCAATTTAAGATAAACCCCATCGCCAATTTGAAACTCCACATCCCTCCTATGCTTATTAGCTTGAACCCGATTCTACTGTTGTGCTTTGCATAGATTTGCCCGTAACTCCTGTAAGAGTGCATCACGTTCCTGTTGGAGTTGATTAACACTTTGAACTTTAGATGGAATAGTATTGCCGTTGAAAATTAGCGGAGGGTCACAGCCATAGAGAGCTTTGAAAGGGTTCATTTTTGTAGAGGCACTATAATTAGTATTAAACCAGAATTCAGCCCAGGACAACCACTATGGCCATTTTCTGGGTTGAGACCCTGTCATACACCTTAGATAAATCTCCAAACAACGATTAACAACCTCTGTTTGGCCGTCTGATTGGGGATGGTAGGCTGTGCTAAACTTCAGCTTGGTGCCAGCCTGTCTAAATAATTCACGCCAAAAAGTGCTTAGAAAAAGCTTGTCACGGTCAGAAACTATTGTGGAAGGGAACCCATGAAGTTTTACCACTTCTTTGATGAATAAGTTAGCCACTTGAACTGCTGTAAAAGGATGAGCAAGTGCCAAAAAGTGGGCATATTTGGTAAGCCGATCTACCACAACCAAGATAGTATCCATGCCCTGTACCTTGGGTAGACCCCCAATAAAGTCCATAGAAATATCTGACCAGACCTGTGTAGGAATGGGTAGTGGTTGTAACGGACCTGCAGGGGCCAATGTCTCTGTTTTATTGCATTGACATACTGCACACTGCATCACAAACTCCTCGATATCTCGCTTCATCCCTTCCCAGTACAATACCCCTGCTACCCTTTTAAAAGTCCTAAAATACCCACTGTGGCCTCCTATAGGAGACTCATGCAGCTCCTTGATGATACTAGGAATGCAAGAAAAGTTCCTAGGTAACACCAATGTCCCATGGTAGAACAACCTTCCTTTCTTCAACTCATACCCCTCACGAGCTTTTGGATTTAACAATAATTCTTGGATGAGAGCAACCAACTTAGGATCATGTTGGACTTCAGCTTCCCAAGTCTCCCATTCATCCGTTTGAAACAAAGATACAACCATAAAATATTGTCTCCTGGACAAAGCATCAGCCACATGATTCTCCTTGCCAGGGCAGAAACGTATCTCAAAATCATAGCCAATTAGCTTGGGAGCCCACTTAAATTGTTGTTCTGTTAGTAAGCGCTGGTCAGTGAGAAATTTCAAGATCTTTTGGTCTGTAACGATAACAAAATGACTGCCCATGAGATAATGTTTCCATTTCTGAACTGCTTGGACTATAGCCATCAACTCCCGCTCATAAACTGATTTTTGCTGACCCCTGTGAGACAAGGTTTGAGAAAGGCCGACCCTCCTGCAATAAAACAACCCACAATCCTTTGCTAGAAGCATTTGTTTCCAAGGTGAAAGATTTGGAAAAATCTGGAACAACCAATACTGGAAATTTAGGAACAGCACCCTTTAATGCGTCAAATGTCCGTTGGGCCTCATACGTCCAGCAAAATCCATCCTTAGTTAATAACTGTGTGAGAGGTTTGGCAACTTGACAAACCCTTTTGCAAATCTTCTATAATATCCGGTTAACCCCAAAACTCCCCTCAAAGCCTTGGCATTTTTTGGAACTGGCCAATTGGTCATAGCTTCCACTTTAGTTGGATCTGCAGCCACACCATCCTTGGAAACAATGTGACCCAAATACTCCAATTGTAGTTGGCCAAATATACACTTCTTACGATTAAGTTTTAAATGATGACACTGCAACAACTTTAAAACCTCTTGTAGATGAGTCACATGAGTAGCCATAGTAGGGCTATAAACCAGTATGTCATAAAAAAAAACAAGGACAAACTTCCTTAAAAATGGTTTAAGAATCTGATTCATTAAAGCCTGAAAAGTGGCTGGAGCATTAGTAAGCCAAAAGGCATAACCAAAAACTCATAATGGCCTTCATGGGTGCGAAAAGCAGTCTTTTCAATGTCCTCCTCTTTCATGAGAATTTGATGATAACCAGATTTTAAATCCAATTTTGAAAATGTGGTTGCACCAGCCAACTCATCCAACAATTCCTCTAGGACAAGAATAGGAAATTTGTTGGGAATAGTGATCTTATTGAGAGCCCGATAGTGTACACAAAACCGCCACCCTCCATCTTTCTTCTTGACCAATATGATGGGGCTTGAATAAGGACTGATGCTTGGTTTGATGATTCTCGCCTGCAACATTTCGTTAACTAAGTGTTCAATCTCATTCTTTTGTTGATGAGAGTATTTGTAGGGCCTAAGATTAGGAATAGATACTCCCTCATGAAGATGTATAGCATGATCATAAGGGCGACTGGGAGGAAGGCCAACTGGATCTTGAAAAAGGTCATTATGGGACTCCAAAATGGGAAGAAGTTGTACAGGAACAGTACTACCATTCTCTTCCTTCTCTTGGTCCCATTTAATTACATAACATGAGCCATTGTTCTTAAAATCACGCACCAGCTTTTTCAAAGAAGATTCTGATTAGGAAAGAGTGGGATCACCCACAAGGATGTGCTCGTCGTTCCCCTTACCAATTGTTAATCGTAAATTACCAAAATCAGCCCTTACCTCACCTAGAGAAGCCAACCATTCTAAGCCCAAGATAACATCTGCACCCCCCAATGTGAAAACAAAAAAATTCTTGTTGAATTTTCAGGCCCTGGACTTCTAGAATAAAACCATGACACTTCCCCTGACAATGCACCTTATGTCCATCACCCACCTCTACCACAAATGGAAGAGTGGGTTCTTGATGTAACCCACATCTGGCAATCAGATCTGGTGAAATAAAATTGTGTGAGGCTAAAAAATCCAACAAAACCACTACTTTCTCATGAACAATAGTCCCCCAAAGTTTCCAAGAATTCCTGGTTGTAAGTCCCGCCATGGTACATTGAGATAGTTGTAAAATCTGACCTATCTCTTTTGTCCCTTCCTCTTGAGTATCAATAGGAGGTTGAAGGGTATATAGTCCAGATAAGTCCTCCTCAGACATAAGCAACATGTGCAATTGTTTATTTCGACAAATATGACTTGGACCAAACTTCTTATCACACCTAAAACATAAGCCCTTCTTAATCTTATCCTGTATTTCCTCTTGAGACAATTTTCGAAAAGGCGCTCGATTTGACTAATTGACACTACGAAACATTCCTCCAGAAGCGCTGCTGTCCCCCCGACCTCTGCTGGAATTATTATAGCCTAGTGAACTGCCCCCATCCTTTGAATAACTGCGAGTCATTGAAATAGGTTTGGAGACATTGTTATTGCGTTGAACATTGAAAGGGCCACCTTTTGAGATGATTCGAACCTTTTCCTCAACCATTTGAGCCTTCATCATTAACTCTGGAAGAGTGCTAGGTTCATACAACTTAACTTCAGCCTTGATTTCCTCTTTCAACCCATTCAAAAAAATGCCAACCAAATAATCTTGATGAATTCCCTTCAAAAACCCAGCATATTGTTCAAATTGCTCTATATACTCCTCCACCAACCCCGATTGCCGCAAGCCAACCAGAATTTCAAAAGGATTCTGAAGCATCGTGGGTTGAAAACGGCGGACAACTGCCACCCTGAATGCTTCCCACGTAGGATTTGGATTGCAAGTTTCCACCACTGAAACCAATTTAAGACCCTCCCTTCCAAAGCAACTATGACCGCCTGCATGCGTTCCTCCTCACTGACTTCCTTCAATCGAAAATAATGTTCAAGACGGTGAGTCCAACCATACGCCTCCTCCCCTGCAAAAACTGGAATGTCCAGTTTCCTCCATTTTGAGGAAGACAAATGATGACTTGTCTCTTCTTCCCAACGTGACCCTTGACCAACATTCACCACTGAAGCAGTTTCACCCTTTGTAGCACTACAAGACAGCGATTCAACCACGGCTGTTAAGCCTCTAATCATGTCCTCCAAACGCTAGAAGCGCTCATGAGACTGATTTTCCTGTCTCTCCTTATCTTGGATTAATTCCTGCAGCATCTTGTCCACAACATCTAATCTAGATTCCATTCTTGTATTCACCATACTCCCCACACGCCCTCACAGTACCAAGAAAGAGGCTCTTGATACCAATTTGATAGGTATCCAGAATTCACTAGATAGATGAATAAATAATTACTCAAAAGAACTTAATTAGAAAATCACAACTGTTATACCCAAGTGATAAAAACAGAAGAACTTCAACATACAATGCTCCAGGTCTTTCGAGAGGACCGGTCTCTCCCTAATTTTCCTTTTACAACCCACTAAAAAACTACTTACTATCATCTAACATAAAGAAAATATAAAAGATAATGACACACACAACTGTAGGAGGTTATAACTACCTACTAGGAAGTTATAACTACCTGCCTCCTCTATTTCTTCTCACATAAACTTGGCCACTAAACCTATCATTATGTTCCACTTATATAATGCTAGTCGATGTGGAATCTCCATAGTATGAAATGTCGAGACTACACGAACAATTTCTCAGCCCCACAGCCCCACAATCCATCTGCTTGAACAAATTATTATTAATACACTTTTGGGGATCTGACATGCGGAGAGATAGTCTGGATCTACTTTTTGATGTAGATTTTCTGTCCTCTTCAATAATAAATTAGTGTTCTGTTTAATTAAGTAGATTTCCTGTCCTCTTTTATGTATTGATTTTTTGTCCGTCTTAGTAATCTATATCTATAGACACAAGAAAATAAAATTCTAACTTGAAGCTAAAACAGTTAATTACTATATGCCTGCTGGAGCAGCAAGGTCCCACCTAATATTGTCATATGATATCCTCTTATTTTCTCTATTTATAGTTTGTAGCCAAATGTAATTTTGTTTTAATCCTTTTATTTATTTTGTCCAGGGAAATGATTGCTTATATAGCTAATACCTTAATTTTCATTTTGAGGTAAGGGCTTGGTTGGAATCTTAAATTATAATCAATTGATATAACTTGTGAAACAGGATTTTAATGGTGTTGGATTGAAAAGATAGAAAATATGTTTTTTTCTGGTTTAACAATGTAGGACATTCTTACTGGTATATCACTTCCCTTAATATTTTCATTTCATCTCTTTTTGTAGTGGAGTTGTCATAGCTGAAGGAATACTTGGTGACAACAATGTTTTCTATCATGGTAGTATTACTTGAAGAATCAACTCATATATTCTCATATTGGGAAAATGTGTACCATGATGAAGTATATTGAATGCAAATACATGAAAATCGTGTTAAATAAATGGGAGTTTAATAACAATCTTGGGTGAATGTGCTGATGAATCTGTATTTCATAGTTTTTATGTACTCTGAGTTAGTGGGGGCGTTTGGCAAGTCCATAGATAGACTATAATTTCTTTAAATTGTTACCTTTAAATCATATATCTAAGCACTATGTTTTGCATTGCTCTTGCTATCATCTTAATGTTGTTGTTATGCCAAGAAGAGTGACTACAAATTATTGGGTCTGTTTCAGGAACATCATGGACCCACCTCTTGCTTCTCTATGTTTATGTACAAGTGTCTCGATGCATTGTTGTTGGAGTATTGTTTCCCTTTCTTAAATATTTTGGATATGGTTTGGATTGGAAAGAAGCTATTATTCTCATCTGGTCAGGATTGCGAGGGGCAGTTGCCTTGGCACTTTCATTATCAGTTAAGGCAAGTATTCTTTGACTAATAATGCATATTTAGAGAGCTCCTTATTATCTGTACTTATGATTGTTTACAAGTGAGCTAGGTTCTTTTTGGATTTTTTTTTTCCGGTGAAATGAAGAACTTACTTTAAGGGAAGTTAAAAAGAGAGAGGGAAATAGGTAAAGTTCTTTAACAAAGCAAAAGTGCACATGGAACAATTATAAAAACGGAGTTGATTATGGAATAGGAATAATAACAGTGCATGAATAGCAATATTGAGATATATTCCTCATCCCAAAACATTAAGATTTGTAGAAGAAGAAATGCATACTTGCTACTAGAAATTGTAAAAATTAGTAGTTGTTCTTGTGCCTGACAATAGACCGGGTTATTATGGTGTGCTAATCAGCAATTCATTACTGTTATTCCTATTTAGTGTCATTGTTTAAATGACAAAATGTTGAAAACCAATATAGTTGGTGTAGCTTGAGGGGGAGTGTCAAAATATATTTTACAAAAATTTAGATATTATTTCCATGTATTTAATTTGTTATATTTTTTGTATCCTAATATTATTACTAGTATAACAATCCCACAATTCAAGGGTTTACAGGCTGTACTTACTCGTTTGCAGGCTGTTTTACCTGTTTCCTGTAGCAAATCAGTGATATATTTTTGTTGGATATGAAGATTCCTTTCTTGGAATGGACTACTTCAATCCTCAGAAAATATTTTAGCTTACCTAAAGTCTTGATTTCGAATTCCTTAGCAAGGCATTGGCTCAACCTATGTTTTTCCTTTTTACCATTCCTAGTAATAATGATATCATCCACATAGACCAATAGTATTGTTACTCCCCCTGAATCAGAATGTTTGATGAATAAAGTATGGTCCCCTTGGCTTTGTTTGTATTTAAGACCTATCATAACATTTGTAAATCTCCCAAACCATGCTCTAGGTGACTGTTTCAACCCGTATAATGCCTTTTTTAGTTTGCAAGCTATGTTGGCCTTAATCTGTCCCCTATACCGAGGTGGTATCTCCATGTATATTTCTTCTTCAAGATCCCTATTAGGAATTCATTTTTTATATCAAATTGTTGCAGTTCCCAATCGTAGTTTGCTGCCAATGACAAAACTACTCGAATCGTGTTCATTTTACAACTGGTGCAAAAGTCTCTAAATAATCCACTCCATATGTTTGGGTGAACCCATTGGCCACCAACCTTGCCTTATACCTCTCAATATTTCCATCGGCCTTGTACTTCATAGTATAAACCCACTTGCACCCAACAACCCTTTTTCCAAGGGGTAGGGTGACTAGCTACCAAGTATTGTTTTTCTCGAATGCCTTCATCTTCAAGTCTATGGCTTGTTTCCATTTTTTTGTCAATTAATGCCTTAGATACAGAAGTTGTAGTTGTGGTTTTATGGGTAGGTGAGAATTTTTCAAAGGATAAATAATTTGTCAAGGGGTAGCTATGTTGTTTGGTGCATGTTCTGGTTCCTTTTCTAAGAGTAATTAGGAGGTTTAAATTATGATCTACCTATTCAACTGGTTTTTCAGAAGGAAATTCATCACAAGCAATAGAGTTAGAATTTATAGGATCAAAAGGAATTACCTTGGGTAATGTTGTAGGGTTGGTTTCTTGAACACGAGTAGATCGTGGAATGGCCTTTCCTTTTAGTGTGTACACCAGATTTTTCCCAAACTTTGTACTACCATTTGGTTTAGTTGTTGGTCCTGCAGATTGAGGAATTTGATTCACCTCCACTTGTTCCTTTCTTATTCTTTTAAACACTTTATGGCCTCATCAAACTTCATGTGCCTACACACCTCAACAAAATGAGATGCTATTCTTATTGCATTTTATCTTATTAATCACCCGCTTTTAATTCATGGTGAGGTTCCTCAACAATTTTGGTGTAATGTTATTCTTACTACATTTTATCTTATTAATCGCATTCCATCTTCAGTTTTAAATAACAAAATTTCTCATTATATTTTATTTTCTCATGAACCTCTACATCCCTTACCTCTTAAAGATTTTGGGTTTACATGTTTTGTTCATAATTTTAGTCCTGGTCTTAATAAGTTATCTCCTAAATTACACAAAAGTGTTTTTTTAGGATTTACCCATCATAAAAGGGATATAAGTGTTTCTATCATCCTCTTAACCGCTATTTTAATTGTACAAATGTTACCTTCAATAAGTCTTCCTTTTACTTGTGTCTTTATACTCCTTGTGTATCTTCATCTATTACAACCAGTATTCCTATTGTTTGTTATCCTCTTGTTGTACCTAGTCTATTGTTAGATTTTCTTCCTCCTCCACCACTTTAGGTTTATAGTCGAAGACTACATTCCTAACAACCACCAAATGACTCACTTCTAGTGTCAACTCCTTTGTGTCCTCTAATTTCGACAACTGAATATGACCATCCAATTGCCCTCTCTAAAGGTATTCTACCCGTGATCCCTTTCCTCATTATATAACTTTAAGTTACCATAAATTATCTCCACCTTTTTATACTTGCCTTTCATCTATTTCTTTTGTGTCAATTCCCAAATCTATAGGTCATGTCTTAGCCCATCAGGCCATAATTGATGAACTAAGTACTCTTCAGAACAGTGGAACTTTGAGAGCTCATCTCATTATCGTCTAGGAAATATATTGTTGGTTGCAGAATGGTTTTTGCTACCAAAGTTGGTCCTGATGGTACTATTGACCGTCTCAAATCCATCTTGTGGCCAAAGGTTAAACACAAAGTTTTGGTGTAGATTATGGTGATACTTTTTCTCCAGTGGCAAAGATGGGTTCTTTTCACTTATTTATAGCCATTGTAGCTCTTCAACAATGGCCTTTTTACCAACTGGATGTGAAAAATGTTTTTCTGAATGGAGATTTAGTTAAAAATAAGAATGATTTATTATTCTCAATCATGAAAAATACATTCTCATATCCTCTATTTTTAATAATCTAATTCTCCAAAAAAGAGAAATAGGGAAACTAGGAAAACAAAATAAAATAAAAGATTATATATCTATATCTTCTAATTAGAAAGATTCTAAAGATATTTTCTCTAATTACAACAGATTTGCACGAAGAAATTTATATGGAGGAACCTCCAAGTTTTGTTGTTCAGGGGGAATCTTCTGGATTGGTATGTAGTCTTCACAATTTGGTATGTCTTGCAGTGTTTGGAAAATTTAGTAGTGTTGTTCAACAATATGGTATGTGTTGTACTAAGACAGATCATTTAGTCTTTTATCATCACTCAAGTGTTGGATGTGTCTATTTGATAATATATGTTGATGGTATTGTTCTTATAAGCAAGCAGTGACCACCATGGCATCTCTTAGTTGAAACAACATCTTCGTCACCATTTTTAGACCAAAGATCTTGGCAAACTCAAATATTTCTTGTGTAATGAGGTAGCACAATCCAAAAAATGGTATTGTTATATCTCAAAGGAAGTATACATTAGATATTTTGGGGGGAAACTGAGTTGATGAATTCCAAATCTGTTGACACACCCATGGATTCTAAATACCAATCTTCTGCCAATCTATGATCACTCATCAAGTTTCAATTCCTTGAATCCTCAACAAGTGAAATTATGCATTAAGTACATTTGGTATTCAATTACTAATGAATCGCGTTTTATCCCTAGATAAAAGCTCCATTTGGTATTCAATTTCAATTCTAGGTTCAAAAGACATTTTCGAGCACCTCAAGAACCAATAATGAAGCAATGGATGATCAAGCCCCAACAAACATTAAGCATAAAAATCCAATACTCACTTTGAAATGGAAAAACATATGTATTAACATCACAAAATACACAAGATTCAGTTTATTACATCTAGTCTCAACAAATAAGGTTAGCTCTCTAAGGTGGAGAACCTAGAGTTTACAAATTGAAGAGATAAGGAAGAAATTGAAACCAAAGAATGATGCACGCCCTTCCCCAAGGTTCTTTGCCTCTACTCCGTGCTCCAATCGCGCTTCCTCTTTGCATTTCCATCTCCAATTCGTGACCCATCTTCCTCCTCAATCCAAAAGGAGCAAAATCACCACTGATGAAGATTGAAGCCCAAGGAGGAGAAGGGAGAGCTTCTTAGCACCCCAAATAGCCTCCAAGGGCCTCTCCCAGTCACTATAGGTGAAGAATGAAGTGTGGGAGGAGGGAATCTCCCAAAGCCTCGCGAGAAACATATTTATATACCCCTTTTTAATATGTCACCGATGCCACCGCTCAGGGCCATATCAGCACCATCTATTAAAACGTAAAAGGAGCTCTTTGTCAAACCACTGTTCAACGCTATTTTCAACCGTTGTGTGCTACTTGTGAAGGGACTGGTGGCGCTTAGCCCCACGAATGTGTCGTTCAACCTAGATAGTTTGACAATACTCTGTAATTGAAGCATTGGGTGTGATCCCAATGGCGCCCAACGCGTATTTGCTTCAAATTGATGTTTTCTTGTCCAAAACATGCTCACTTGAGTTCTTGCTTGTTTTCCTCCACTAGAATTGCTCCCTGTTCATTTATTTCACACACTTAAACGAAGAGATTAGTGGTGAAACAAGCATAAAACAACTAAAATACAAAACACACTAAACTTAAGGATAAAACAAGATTGAAGCTAGGAAAAAGTTGATTTATTGACGACAATAGACACATAAAACTAGGTAAAAATGGATGTTATCACCAGTATAGAAGATTAGTTGAAAAATTCAATTTTGGCTTATCAACAGTATTGTGTCTTGTGTTATTTTACATAAATATGTGTATTTTGGCTTAACCCATATTTTCTTCTTTATAAATAAATTACCCTATGCGTTTTTTCGATACAATGGATATTAACCCTATACCTAGTTTTCACTATATTCAAAATAAACCAACTCATAATCAAATAATGTTGCTAGGCTGCTATGCTCTTAAGTAGAAAAAGTTTTGTCATGCTTATCAGCTATAGCTTTTGGCTTATTGGTACCCTTTTAATCAAACAATTGGTAGGCA